GGGGGGGGTTGGGACAGGAGAGGTCTGCTGGCCATGTGGGTCACTCCCAGGCTGGGGATGGAACTCATGCTGAAGCAAATGCAGCTAGCTTTGCAGTGCTACACTTTAACTCGTTGTGCCACCAGGGAGGCCCAAACCATGCTCTTTTTATATCTGCCCTCCCCTACCACAAAAAATTGAAGTATACAACTGTGTATAAATGCTGATATCCTGTCATTTCAACAATATCGGTGGACTTCAAGGGGACTACAGTGAAGGGTAGAACTGAACTTTTAGTGGTGAACTTAATGTAGTGTATGTGTAACCTTTGAGATAATTGATAACACCTGTGCCTCATAAACGCCATCTATGAGTCATTCCCACCTAGTTAAATAACAAAGAAACCTCCAGAACAATGGGCAGCTGTCAGTTAAACTAGATCCACTGGTGCTTTCCTCAGCCTGCAAAAGAAGGCCCTTATGCCTCCCCCTTTATATAACACTTTACATAACCTTCGGGGAGCCCCTCTTTGGGTGCTAGCTCTGTCATGCTCCCTGTGATAGTGTTCTCTGGAATAAAACTCTGGAAGTCTTCTCTGGTTTAGTTTTTCTTTTCTTTTCTTTTCTTTTTTTTTAAAAAAAGATTTATTTATGCATACAGGAGCTGGGGTATAGGCCAGAGGTGGGGTGGTGGTGGTGGTGGTGGTGAGAAGATTCACCAGAGGTAGAGTGGGGAGCAGAACAGGACAAGACAGGAGAGGTCCCTAGCCTGGGATTGAACTCGTGCCAGGTGGCTGTCGATAGCGTCATCGTGCTGAGTCTTAACACTTTGCCACCAGGGAGGCCCCAAAGCCAGTGTCTTTTCTCATGACAGAACAGTATTCCCAGAGGGATGGGCCCCATCTTCTTGATCCAGTCCTCTATCCGTGGGCACTTAGGTTGCTCCTGTGCCCCTGTAAACAGAGTGCAATGAACAGTGTAGATCTCCTGCAGGCTCTAGCCTGGCCTGGACAGGAGAGGAGCTGGGGGGAAGGGGATGGACACAGCCCAAGGATAGGGGAGCCTAAGCAGGGAGGGGGCTGAGGGGGGGGGCAGGGAGAGACCAGAAAAGGAGAAGGGAGGGAGAGTGTAAGTCTATGTGGGGCAGAGAGGTGGGAGATGGGGGACTCAGAGAAAGGGAAAGCTGGGAGGGGCCTCTAAAGGGCAGAGAAATGTGATCACCCATTGACTCAGTGCTTCCCATAAAGGGTGCGGTGCTGAGGGGTAAGTGGCACAGCACCACATAGTCCGCGCCCACAGGCCTGGGGAAGGGGTGGTCATCGCCCAGAGTCTCAAGGGACGTCCAGCTGTCTACACTTCTCCGAATAACCCAAGGAGCAGCACAAGCACCAGAGTGGGGGTGCTGAGGGCAGTGAGCTCCAGTGGAACAGTCAGGAAGTCCTTTGAATGCCCACATGTTTGGCATGGCCTCCTGTCTGCAAAGGATTAGGCT